GCTGGATTGTGACAATAAGTAAATGCTGTCACCTGGGGGATGGGTGTGTGGAAGAAGTTTTGCAGCAACTTCTGTGAGCCAAAATTTTGTGAGAATTTTGATAAGAGAATCCATGTTTACCCCGAAAGAATTTCCTACCAAGGTCGTTGATGTAGAAACCAAGAAAGAGAGGAAGACAAATAAGAGAAATCTGCAACTGTCTATTTCAATAAGCACTTTGTTTGTCTTTCCTGACCAATGAGTAAAGTGTAAACTTATGTTTTGTAAGAATGTATAAAAAGCATGCATATTTTGAAGCCTTCTGAAAATGCAGTGTTGCTTTGTATTGTGACATCTCAACTATGACATGGGAGCATCAATACTGAGAGCAAAGCTGGTTTTGGGAGGGGTTGAGGAGTCTCTTGGTCATCCTCCGGCCAGCCCCCACCTCCTGGCCCTGGCCCATGCCAAGAGTGCCAAGAGATTGACATGGGGAGTGACATAAGATTAGGCGGGAAAATAGTAGTGAACAACTTCAGGGCAAAACCCTTGAGGAAACTGAAGGGGGTACATGGAACAAACCACTCTAAACTTGCAATAAGGAGCAGCTTAAGATTACAACAGAAAAACAATATACCCCAAGGGGTGTGAGTTTGCATGCTTGTGGCCATGGTGTTAGTGCTAGAGTCACAGTTTGTGAAGCAAAGTTTACAGCTGGGAAGTGTACAGCGAGCTACTTGCTTTTTGTTTTGCCTTCAAAAACAGAATAAAAATAAAGAAAAGCAAACTTTAATATTTTTGCTTTCTCATCTGTGTATTTTATAAGTAGATAACCTACAACAGTCTCCCCATGCCATTAGAGTGTGTGCTCATTCCACTTATTAATTTGCCTAATTTGAGCATACTTTTGCTTTTCAGAAAGCTTTTCATGAAGCTGTAGCTACCTGCTAAAATTTTCCCATATCCCCATACAGACATTCTTTAGTGGTGACTGAAGTGTTCCCAGCTTGGTATTGACTGAAAAAGTGCAGTCCTGCTAAGTGCTACACATCTTCAATTTTTTGTTTAGTCCAGGGAAAGCTGAAGGCAAGACAATAATGTGGTGGCACTTTTTCCTTTTCTGTATGTAAAAAAAACCTGTCATACTTGCACAGTCTGAGTATTTTTCAGAAACTTTGCAATTTTTATGTGCAGATGAATGAGCTGAGTAGTGGCAGCACTTAAAAAAGCAGTTTATGTAATACAGATAACTAAAGTGCTGATTCTACAAACAGTTTCCTCTGTAAACAATGTCTTGGGCTTTTTTCCACTCAACTATATTTTACTATAAAACTGATCTAACAAAGCATCCTAGATTCTGGCTGGAATGCAAGCTACCAACAAACATACATCAGTCCTTTGGATCCAGGTGCTGTATAGGAGAGTTGTGCTTGCGTTCAGTGAAACATCTGTTTGCCAGACTTGGGACCACCTACGGTAACAATCAGCCTATGTTATGCTCCTGACAGAGATTCAGTTGTCACCATCCCTGGAGGTATTCAAAAGACATGCAGATGTGGCACTTGGGGACATGGTTTAGAGGCGTAGTGCTGGGTTAATGGTTTGGACTGGATTTTAAAAGTCTTTTCCAAACTAAGTGATTCTCTGATTCTGCCTCTGCAAACCTTGAAAATTCAGGCCATGAACTTGTGGTCACTTTTGTTACTGAGAAAAGCCCTGCCTGAGAGGAAGTAAACCCTGAAATTAAATATAACTTTATATTTTTTCATATAATCATAGAAATATTAAGGTTGGAAAGGACTCTGGATGATATCTAGGACAATATCCTGCTCAGAGCAGGCTACTCTTAAATTCAGGTTGCTTGCGGGTTTTTCCACTCAAGCCTTTATGGAGGGAGATTCCATAGTGTCTCTGGACCTCCAGGTGAATTTTTCTGTCCTTCTCTCAATACAAATCCTGCCTCTGTCTGTCTCAGTAAGCTCCTTGTCAGTATTGGCAGGCTGCCCATTATTCCAGCTGGAAGAAGTCCTAGAGCCCACAGCCTCTCTCACATGGTGAGTGCTCCAGCCCCATGACCATCTTCATGCACTCAGCAGAACTCACTCCAATTCATCAGGAATTTTCCATATCAGGATTGTTCTACTGGAGACCCCCAAACTGGGCATCATATTCCACACACAGGCAAACAAGAGCCATGTAAAGGGTAGTAGTCACGTCCTGGTAATCAATTTTCTGTATTCACAGGATCACAGAATGGGTCAGGTTGGAAGGAACCATAATGGTCATCTGGTCCAGGTTCCCAGCTCAAGCAAGGTCCCTTAGAACACGTTAAGCAGGGTTGTGTCCAGACAACTTTTTGAATATCTCCAGGGAAGGAGACTCCAAAACCCCTCTCAGCAGCCTGTTCCACTGCTCAGTCATCTGCATAGTAAAAAAGTTCTTCATGTTCAGGTAGAATGTCCTGTGCATCAGTTTCAAAGGGCCCATTGCCCTTTGTCATATTGCTCAGCACCACCAAAAAGAGCCTGGCCCCATCCTTTTGACACACTATATACCTTGAATGTTGGAACCCTGGATGCTGAGAATAGAGCTACTTTCTAAAGAACCTAAAAGACTGAACAATCGAATTAAATCCATGTTCTCAAATTCTATATTACAAAACTTAGTAATTGCCTGAGGTTTGCTGCCCTCCAGAGGCTATTTTTATTATAGTTGCAAAGAGACAGTTATACTGTGGACAGCACTGCTACAGTGCAATAATATTTTAAGATCTACTCTTGTCATTTTGTATTAACAACACAACATAAAATGAACAAGTACTTTACTTAGTTTTAGTGTGCTGTTGTGAAACATCACTATGAACAGGACATGGACACCAAATTCTGTGCTGGAGAACGGGCCAGTGGAAAATAAACTAATTTAGTAAAAGGTTTTGGTATGGAAACATGTGTTTGTTCACCCATCTAAATCATAACTTCCTTCTGGATGAACAGTCTGTATGTGGGCTTGATACCAGAGAAGATGTTGTGTTTGACTATGGATTAGTAAAAGTGGGCTGTGAGAGGAAAAGATTAAAAAAACATAACTAAAACTATATATATATATATATATATAGTATATATACTCTGACATTTATTATGAAAATAAATTGGATCTTCAGGCAAGGTGAATCATAATAGAATACTAATTATTTGCACTGTGCCAAGGCACATGAAAAACAAAGAGGTTGCCATTTTCTGAATGCAGTGAGCAAAGAGTAGTTCCTGATCTGGCCTCAGTGTTAAGAATCTGTACCAGCCGTCAGTTTGTCCCATGGAAACCACCTAATGGCAGAACAGGAATGTAAACTACCACCAAACGTAAATATAACATTTGTGCAAACTCTTTTCCTTAAGCAGAATAGAGAAATCCTGGGTGTGTTGTGGAAGAACCTTCCCGGAGAGCGGCCCTGAGTCCTTCCTCGCACCTCATCCATTACCGAGGGCGCTCCTTTGTACGAGACCAGCTGTACAAAAAATACCCAAACTCTTGTTTATTTTAGTTTGAACACAAGAGCAGTTTGGACGTGAGAGGGATGAGGCAGAGGTTTCACACAGAAGCACCCTACTGGGGAAATCCCCTCATTTAGCCGATTCAGAGAGTTTGTGCAAGGTGCGTGGAGACAAACCCGCAGGAGCAGCTCGGGCCCCACACTGTGGGTGCCCTCGGGGTGTCCGCCACTAAAACCGGCAAAATCTTGTGGGAGGTTCCGCGTCTCGCGTGGGAGAACTTCTACCCAAGCTCTGCAAATGAAGTCACTAAAATCGTGGCTTGCGGTGACGACACCCAGCAATTATTTTTTGAACGTTTTAGAAAAAGTTCAGTGGGAGATTCCTGCAGAAAGAAACATAAACAAAAAGGGAAGAAAGGGAGGCAAAGTGACGGAAGAAGGAAAAGCGTCCCATTTAAAATCGTGGGCAGCCTGGGGAGGAGGGAGCGGAGAGAAAAGCGGTTCCACGATCAATCTCGTTCCTTACGTAAGGCAGCACACAGAGCCCAACGCGCCTGCGCGCCGGGGGGCGGGGCTCGCGGCGGGGGCCGCCCCCTCTCTCGTGCACGGAACCTGCGCCGGCGGCGGCGGTAGTCACCCGGACCGCAATCGGTGCTGGAGCTGGCACCCGGACGGCAATAGGAGCTGGAGCGCGCCCCGCTCGCACACGCAGGGTCGGTGTCCCGGCGGAGGCGGCTGCCGCTGCCGCCGGTAGGGAGGGGGTGCAGTGCGGCTCAGCCGGCCCGCACCGCCGCCGGCAGCAGGCAGGGATGGGCTGTCGGGCTTTGCCGGCCGGGCTCTCGGCGGGCTTCCCCCCAATGGGCCAGGCGGCGGCACGGTTTGCCGCAGCGGGTGACGCGGCCCGCCGCGGGCAGGGGAGCCGTGGGCTCGGGCAGCGGCGGAGAGCGTAGTCCGGCCGGGGCGGTGGGTGTCGGGGCCGAGCCGGGCAGCTCGGGGGCCGCGGGGCGGGAGGGCACGGGCTGGCCGGCGCTGCTGCCATTGGCCGGCGGCCGCGGGCCGGCCGGGACATTGGGCGGGAGCCCCGTCAGTCACGGCGCTCTCGTCCCCCGGCAACAGGCGAGGGCGGGGCAGGACCCGGCCCCAGGGCTCCATCAATCCCCGGAGCCCTCGCGGCTCCACGGCCTGGGTCGCGGCGCCAGCCCTGCCCTGTCCCGGGCCTGGCTCACCTCTGGCGGCTGCGGGCCCTGCTGCCGGCCTGGGGCGGGGGCGGGCGGCCACTCTCGGGCCCTCGGCTTGGGTCGCGCTGGATGTCCTGGGGGCGGTGTTTTCATTACCTTCTGACTCTCCCTTTTTGTCTCCTTCCTCCTCTCCTTCCCCAGGCTTCATGCGTGGGGATTTCTGCGTTTGGTTTGGGGGTTGTTTTTTTGGTTTTGTGGGGTTTTTTTGGTTGGTTGGTTTTTGGGTGTTTTTTTTTTTTTTTTGGTTGTTTTTTTTTTTTTTATTCCCGAAGTCGGTGAGATCATCCTGCCTGGAGGCTGTGGTGTGACAGAAATGCTAAATAGCCCTCTAGCTCGGGGAGGTTTCCTCAGTTAAACTCCGTGGTCGCCTTGCAATCAGGTGGTAGACTTTCAGAAAATGAATACTTAATTGAATCGGGGGTAGTACTTCAGGGAAACAGGCTGAAACTTAAAAGCATAAGGTATGTATTAAAAAATAGTTGTAAACCTTAAAGAATAGGCTAGAGTAATCATGAATGAAGGTCTAAAGGAGTAAGTCTTAGGTTGAAAAGGCTAGAAAACAAGCTGTTAGCATGCAACCCCTACCTCTTTACTTTGCAAAGGAAGAGTAATCCAAGTTATAACTGGATTTCAATTTCAGTTTTTTGCATTTCACTAGTTAATGCCCTTCAACTTTTCAATACCTAGAAATATTCTAGTGCAATGTTCTTAATTTTTGATACAGTTAATACCCTTCAACGTTAACTACTCTAAAACATTTTAGGTGTCAAAGTACTTAGTTTTAATGGCATTTGATTAATAGGGATAGTAGTTGTCATCCATGGAATTGCGTTAAACAGATAGGACAACGGAGCACTTCATACTCCTTACTGTTTCTAAGTGAGTCATTCAAGGAGTGTGACTAATCATCCTACCATACAGTTGTCAACAAAAGAGTATTTTATTTTTTTCCTTAACTACCCACAAAATCAAAGAGATTTCCAGATTTTCTGTGGATAACTGATAACCAAAGAACCTATCTTTTGAACAACACTTAAAATTTAGATTGATGGGGACTACATGTGATGGACTTCTTATCTTAAGAATATATGTGGAATTTTCTTGTGTGCAGCAGTACAGTGATGTACCTGGGAAGTCGGTTAACTTAGAATGGTCATTGTCGGGCAAGCAGCCACATGTTGTTTTAAGGCATTTGTCTAAATGACAACCTCACGTGAAACTGAATTAATTTTATCATTCCTCCTTCCCCCTGTCCCCGCTACACCTGTGTCAAGTTTTAAGTCCCCTGGGACAGAGGCACTTCAGTATTCAGTGCAGTCTGGATTGGGGATTTTCATGGTAATAGTGTTAATTAGGTAATTTTCACGATGGGTGTTGCCAAGCTAATGATAGTGCTGCCTGGGGGTTGGGTGGGAACCGCTTTTGTTGTGAGGAAACCGGGGTAGTAAGAGGAAGAGCTGGATGAGAAATTTGTGTTAGGAAGTGTGACAGGGAAGTAACCTGATTTGAACATAGCCCTTGTAGGAAATTGAAGTCAGCAGTTATCTACAGCTTGTGAGACTGAGCCAAGAGGACAACATTGATTAAAGAGAAAAAATATTATGGGAATGGAAAATGTCTTGAAGGAAAGATACTCAAGATTTAATTTTTTTGAAGTCAAATGAGTTAGAGCTCATTTAAGGGAGAGGGAGACAAGATTTTAAATGCACCAAAATGTAGTGTAGGACACAGGAGGAAGATGGTTGATTTGGAAGAAGTGTGTTTGGAAATGCAGTTACCTGGGACAGGGGCTGGTAAGGGGAAGTAACATGAAGTGTGGAAATAGTGAAACCAAGGATACATCAGAATGGATCCTGCAAAGAATGTAAAAAAGGTATATTAAATGTATGCCAGCTTCTGCTGTTGACAAATACATTTTCTGATTTTTTTTGTATCTGTTTGCAGTATTGATAAAGATTTGCTTCTTTTTTTTTTTTTTTGATGTATTTCTAATAGTTGTTATGGTCTGTTTGTTGTCTCATCACCTGTCCTGTGAAGACTAATTATTGATCAGGAGTGTGCTTAGAATGCTGTTTTCCGTGTTTTCCCTGTCATCTAAACTTGAAGTGACTTTTATATGTGTGTAAATTGACAAAAAACAAATAAAAGAGGCATTTACCCACAGGCAAGCAGATTGGTGCAGTGAGTCTGGGGCTTCTCTAGCCTGATGATCTCTGTAGAGAAGTGATCTCTTTTTTCTGGTGTCTGCCTCAGCAGGTGTTACAGGTGCCTTTTGTTAAACAGGAAGCACAATTGAGAGGACACTTTATCGTCTTTAAAATAGAGAGTGGAAGAACAGGTTTCCTTTAGAAAATAGCAAAGTTGAGGAGTGGTCTGAGGATTGAGTCCTAACCAGAGGGAGGTGGTAATGACACAAAAATCAATGGAGATGATGCCTCTTGGACACTGGAAGGTTATTCTTGCCTTCTAACAGTGTGGTCCCACTGGTTCAATATTTGGTAAGTGATGAAGAACTATGGCAAAAGTACAGCCCGTCCCTTTTACCCCATATTCTGGAGATGGATGTCTCGTTGCTAGCTAATCCTTGGATTAGAGAATGCAAGCAAAATATACCAATAATGTAAGAATGTCAGAAGAGTCATTCCACCAAAAAGAAATCTGTAGGCTGTACACTATGTGGATGATATTACCAATGAAAATACTAATGTAGTCTTATGTGTTGGGGTTGTAACAAGTCTGCACAGTAATTGCAGTACAATAATCAGAAAACCATGGTTTTAGCTATACTGCAGCTTCTGAAATACTCCCCACTGCTGTTGTATTTTACTTGAAAGAACATAAATTTTATGTTAATTCCTTTAAGTTTCTAGAATATCATTATTTAGCTAAAAAAAAACCCCAACCTGTCATTGCATTTTTATTTTAAAGTTGCCATACCAACTAGTATGCCCTTTCAGTGAGGAAGGGGGCCTGAAACTATTTTTCAGCAAGCTACAAGTATTTATATATTTGAATTATAAACTACCCTGTTGTCTTGGCAAATAACATGGAGCTTGGTTCACTTTAATCATCTTTAGCTATTAATAAACTAATTTCTTTGAAAATGCTGGGGATGTTTGACTGCAAATCAGGTAAATACTTCCTGTAATTCCTGGGTAGTCTAATCTTCTGGTTTTATTCAGGACAGCTTGGCATTATCATTATGGATCGCTCCCGGCACCGTGCGGGAAATGGCAGTGAGCAGGCGCCTTCACGGGAGCGCAGCGGTGAAGGTGAGAGACAGCGGCAGCTGGAGCGCCTCAGCAGGGAGGAGGCCTATTACCAGTTCATTAACGAGCTCAACGAGGAGGACTACAGGTTAATGAGGGACCGAAACCTGCTTGGCACTCCTGGTAAGATCTGCATACCTTCAGTAGAAGTGTAGTGGAGTAACTCTCCTGCTGTTAGGCACCACAGGGGGTACTGTGACTCAAGCAGCCTGACTTCTGTGGCTTTGTAGAAAGGGAAAAATCCTCCACATGGAACACAAGGATAACACTTCACCTGTGTACCAAGATGCTGCATTTGAATGTCCAAACCCAGATAATTAACATTTGGTACATTCAAGTATATCTGTTTATGTGTGGCAATTTTGGGGGCCTCTGAAGTGTTACTGGAAGCTGGCATACTGTCAACACATTCAGGATCTTTTTCTTCCACTCCACTACCTACTTCCTCTGATATCTGCATTGTGATCTCACATGAGTGCTGTTTTCTTTATGGTTTCATCAGTTTTATCTGTCTTCTGAAGATTTTCATTCAAGATAGAAAATGTTATTTCTGCATGGCTGTGTAGAGGCAATAATAGTGTCTTATCTAACAGTGTTATCAAAATGTAAATTAATTCAGGAGAAATAACAGCAGAAGAGTTGCAGCAACGTTTGGAGGGGGCTAAGGAGCGTCTGACATCACAGTCTGATCTGGATAACAGAGAAGGTGAAGGTAGAACTGTTGGAGGTAAATATTCTTCATTCATATATGTAGACATAGTATGTGGTGCATAAGTAGTGTTCTGTAAAGATATTTAAGAGAGTCTCATTTCTCTTTCTTTTTTTTTTTCAATGTGCCTGTGGGGATTGTTTAGGAGAGATTTCCTAAGGATGCAAAACTCAACTTGAAATACTTGATGAGAACTCGTTTATGTTAATCACAAATTACTTGTTCCTTTTTCCCTCATTGTCCCCTGCTAGTAAATGTGATAGCACAAAAATACTATTTTTTTCAGTTCTTAGAGGTTTTTATCATGTATTAGAGCAGTTGGAAATGAAGTTAATTGGAAAACAGTTAATCTCTCCACTGTTTTGACACTTTTGTTGTTTCATTTACATTTGTTTTAGTCAAGTGAGGCTTGTGTTTTATGCACTGTCTTCATTTCACCAGATATACTGGCTTATTCATTTGGCCAGTTACAGTCAGATTTGGTAGAAGAATTGGCAGCTCAGAAATGAAGATACCAAAGTTCTTGGAGGGGAGGTTTCCTGGACACTGAGATGATGGAGTAGGGAGAACTTAATCTGATCCTTTAAAGGGAAAATCTTCACTGTGATCATGACAACTGGCCAGCTTTATACACACAGTTAGCCCTAACCACAGCACGTGTATCTGTTCCTGAGTGTGTAGTTGGAGAAGACTTGAAAATGGAGCTGTGGGTATTGTAATAGGAAAAGAGTATATTTGCACAAAAGGAGAAAATCTGTTCAAACCATGCATCCCACCCAGACACATTCCTGTGTAAGCTGCTCTAGGTGACCTTGCCTTGGCAGGAGAGTTGAACTACATTATCTCCAGAGGTTCCTTCTGACCTTAATGATTCTGTGATCATTTATTCTACTGCTTATAGGAAACATTTTTTAAAAATGTTTTCCAAAAGAAGACAAGACTTGGTATTCCTTTTCCTGCTGTATCAAAATGAGTTGTTAAAATAGTCCCAAACTGGTAACTTCAGCAAGTGGCAGGTATTGGACAAATACAACCGTCTTTGGACCACCTGGATCTGAACACTGGCTCAGAAGAGACAATCTGGGTGTATTAATTTCTCTGTGAGTCTGCTGGTGAGACAAAAATTCTAGGTTGAACTGGTAAGTTTTGATGACATTTTTACATAGAGCACATTTTTGTACATTAGCATAGCAAGTTAGGTGCCCTGCTCCTGTATGGTGTCTGAAGTCAGAGCCTAGCAGGTGAAGAGGATTTGGAGTGCATTGTCGTATGCAGAGCATGCAGTTGTATGAATGTTTGCAATTCTTTGTTTCTCTCAGATTCTGAAGTTCTTGGGGAAAACTCCACCGGCGACTCTTTGCTTGAATGGCTTAATGCATTTCGTCGCACAGGAAACGCCACCCGCAGTGGGCAGAGTGGGAACCAAACCTGGAGAGCAGTGAGTCGAACGAATCCAAACAGTGGGGAGTTTCGCTTTAGTCTCGAAATCAATATAAATCATGATCATAACAGTTTTGAAACTTCTGGTGAGGAGTATGTTGATATAGATGCTACCAGACTGTATGTAGAAAGAAGACGTCAGCTAGTTGCCAGTTCAGTAGCCTCACGGACAAGGAGCATGGCTGCAAGAGAGGCAAACAACGAAGCTGCAAGGACCAGGCTTTTAAGACGTGCCATGGCATTAAGGTCAGAAATAGTCTCTCATGCGGTCTCAGGGAGGCTCAGGAGTAGAACGAGAGAGCTGACAGGCCAGACAAATAATACTACACGAAGCAATTCCATGGCTGCTGATGAACCAAGAGAAATGCCAGAAAGAGGTACTTCTGCAGGGGTCAGAAGGGGTAGAGCTAGAACTAATGTCCGGATGAATACAAACCAAAGACTAGAAATTTTGCGGCTGAGGTCTACTCTAAGTAGTCGAAGCCGCTCCCCGCTGCAAAGGCAAGGTGATGCTGCTCATTCTGAGGAACGTGGTCAGAGGCAGGATAGAAATGCACAGCAGGTCAACAGAAGTAGGAGACAAACGGCTCAGGCTTCTCCACAGCCTACTGAAGAGCAAGCAAGAAGTAACACTCAGGCTTCCCAGCTTTCCAGTGTAGCCCCATCCTTGCGAACAGCTTCAGAAGAGGAAGAACCTGGTAGGCCAGTAGCTGCTGCCAGAAGGCACCCAACAATTACACTAGATCTTCAGGTGAGAAGAATTCGTCCTGGAGAAAACAGAGACCGGGACAGCATTGCCAGTAGAACTCGTTCTAGAGTAGGAATGTCAGAAAACACAGTTACCTTTGAAAGTGACAGTGGAGGGTTTCGGCGCACGATATCCCGCTCAGAACGCGCAGGTATTCGGACCTACATTAGCACTATACGGATACCTCTTCGTCGGATTTCAGAAACTGGGCTTGGGGAACCTTCATCAGTGGCACTTCGATCAATCCTTAGACAGATAATGACAGGCTTTGGAGAACTGAGTTCTTTAACAGAATCTGAATCTAATTCAGAAGTGCAAAGAGGCGGCCATCACTTAGCGGATGCACAGAATAACTCAAGTTCAGCGAATGGCAGTGATCCCAGTGGGGTTTTGTCTAGAAATGGACACGCAGTAGATGGCAGCAGGGAAAGAAGTGGACAGAGGGGCAGTCAACGCGCCGGGCGCAATCATGAGAGCCAAGACAGCAGGCAGTCTCAAGATGCAAACAACCTAGTGGAGAATGGAACGCTGCCCATCCTTCGACTTGCCCACTTCTTCCTGCTGAATGAGGATGAGGATGATGATCGTTTAAGAGGTTTAACCAAAGAGCAGATTGACAATCTTTCTACACGGAACTATGGGGATGTTCACACTGAAAATGAATGGAGTAAAACGTGCAGTGTTTGCATTAATGAATATGCAACAGGGAATAAGCTAAGGCAGTTACCTTGTACGCATGAGTTTCATATTCATTGTATTGATCGCTGGCTTTCTGAAAACTCCACCTGCCCAATTTGTCGGCAGCCAGTTCTGGGGTCTAATGCCACAGATAATGGCTAGAATTGTTTGTACTGCTCAGCACTCAAGGATTTGCTCCTGCTCTGTTATGAGCCAGATGAAATTCATTGACTTAGATATGGGTCCATTTGTGGGGGCAGTTTTGTTAAATTTCTTCAAAAATTATAGAAACTTATCTAAATCTAACAATGTAAATACTATTTTTTCCAAGTGCGGATCTAGGAGCACACATAGAACCAAATGATATTGGTAAAGTTTATATTTTTTTAGATAATTTTGTTATGCTAAGCACTTTTGTAAATACAGAAATGCAATAGTTAATCAGTCCTGCTTAATGTATGTTTTTTAACATTGTAATGGACTCGCTTTATTTAGATTACAAAATGTTTCACACAGACCCACCACTGTGTTGAAAAAATAGTGGCTAAATAGCCATTTGTTAGCTTTTTGTTCTAAGAACAATTTCTTTTACAGAGAGTCTCTTGCTGGACATGTTTGCTGAAGATATTTAAGTTACTTGAAGTGCTCATTTTTTAATTTTTTTTTTTAAACATTGAAATATCCTTTCCAAAAACTTGCCAATTTGGTTCTATTTAAAAAATTCTATGGCAATTTTTGCATGTGGGTTTACACAGTTCTTAACGTTGATGAGTTCTTATTCAGAAGTGGATGAGTTAGTGGCATTATGAAATGTATATAATTAAATGCTGTCTTTGACAATCTTTGTCTTTTTAGTGCAGACAGCAATCAAATCTGATAATTCCGAGAGGGTGTGTCTTACTTGCTCAAAGAATAAATGAGCACTAAGGAAGCCTTTTTACTCTTCCAAATTACTCAATCGATATTCCTGGGGTTTTAACTGCCTTAGTTTAAAGAGGGGAAACATTTCCTTGACCGTTATATTGTCTATAATATGCATGTTTTGGGCATCCTACTCAGAAGAACAAAACAAAGACTTGAAGTGCTTTTGTATAGAAATTTAAGGTACACATGTAGTGTTAGTCCTCTTGAAACACGCCTGAGGACCAAGTGGCAAAAGACACTAAAAGGAGAAAATAAACTTCCCTGAAAATCCCCAGTATCTGTATAATTAGATATTAAACTTTATACCAATGACTTACACTGAAATAAAGTTGCAAGTTAAATAATTGAGGCTTTATGTGAATTACTGTTGAGCCATATCCTGTAGATTAATAAGAAAACTTCTATTCTTAATGTTCAGTCTCAGTTTTCACTTTTTTCCCCACTTTTCCCCAGCTCTGTTCCTGGCCTTTTAGTTACTATGGTACATAAAAGCCCAGCTAAAAGTGCTCCAGGGGTTTCTAGAAGCTGGATGTTACAAAGCTTGTCTTCTGAGCAACCTACATCTCAGTCCCTGGAGAAATGCAGAATTGTGCACTAATCTGCTGTGTGTATTCTGATCAGTAGGGTACTTGAAGTGAACAAGTCCTACTGCCTTTCTCTGCCTGCAGATAGTGGCCTTGACAAATGTGCTTCTGTGCCAGGTGTGTCACTTAGAACATCTGCTCATGATATCCTTCAAGGGTAGCTATAAAATCCCATGTGATTGGATGTCTACTTCAGTTCTGCAAGTGGAAAACTTGTGTCATAAATCCAACAGAAGGGCTTCTTTTCATTCCTGAAAGTAGTTCTAAGGAACTCTGTTATGAGATTTAGATGATTTAAGGATATGATTAAGATCTCTTCTGATGTAATTTGTGCTGTTAATTACTGCAGAGGTTGTTGTCCCCTCCCTTGAGGGCTTCTTTAGCTGCAGTAAAGAGTGAGGAGATTTAAATGTGATTGTAAGAGCTAGCTTTTTTATTTTGACTTTTTTTTTTCTTTTACTTCTGTTAGCTGCTGAGACTGACAGTATTTAAATACATACATGTCTTCTGTTGCTTCCTTGTTTCTTTATGACTTCCTTTAATATTTGAAATGTGCCTGATTGAAAAGACACATACATAGAAACCTACCTATGGCTCACTACTGCCTTGCTGGTCAGGTCCTTCCTTCAAGGTCCATTTTAACTCTGATCCTTACAACTGCTACACTAATGCACTGATGAAGAGAGCTTGCCTGTGCCTTTTTTCCATTCTAGTAGGAATTTTGCTGTGTGTAAGAACACAGTTGGTTACATGGCTCAAGATGAGATCATCTGTGACAGGGTATGTTTAACTGAGCTGCTAAGCGGAATATCCCAAAGCACAGTGAGAGCTTTCTGTAGAAATTGAAGGCTATGGGAAAAGAAACATTAAGCCTCCACTTCTATATTCCTGCCCTGTCACGTGAGAGTTGTCAAGTATTTCCCCTCCATTGAGAAGTATGTAATTTGTTACTCAGCTTTCCCAAGATACTGTGTTAATGGCACCAATTAAATTATAGTGATTCAGTTTGGTATTGGCTTCTGTTATCTCTCTTTCTGTGATAAAACTGCAGTTCTCTGCCACCCCCACCCTCCAAACACTTTTTTTTACCTTGTCCTGTGGTGACATTAAGAAACGTAATTTATTTATACACAAATAAATAAAAATTGTTGGCAGAATTTTTACAAATTAGTTCATTTAAAATGAAATATTAAATGAAGTTGAACTGGTAGCGCTAATCCAAAGCCTGTAGAAAGCCTTAATGTTGAAGATGACCAAGAGAGCTGCCTTAAACGTGATGCCTGCAAAGATAAAGAGAAATATCAGGCTGAACTAATAGATTTTTCTATTTCTTTTATGTGTGATGCTATCAGTGACTTTCTAGCTGATATTATGGCTCTGTATGTCTCCCTAATAGTCTCTTCTTTAATAATACATCACATAGGAGTGGTTTCCTGTGTTGCCAAGTAACACACAACAATTAGCAACATGTGCAAATGTGGAACTATAAAAGGAAGCAGTAAATGATAGCAGATTATGTCCTGTCACTTCATGCTTTTGCCTTGATGGGAAATAACTATTCTGCTTTTAAAAGCAGATGCCACTTCACCATGCCCAAGCTCCTTGGTGAAGTAACCCTGTGCAGTTATCTGGTAAGTACCAAGTGACTGATCAGAGCCCAACCAAGCTGCCCACCAGGCCAACTAGGAATGATGTGGGGCAGGCAGGACATCCTGCAACTGTGTGAGGATATGTTGGGCCAAGCTGGTAATCTGAGTCTGCGAGGTGATGTGGGCAGAAGAAACCTCATAACAGAAGAGAATTGCAGTGGACTCACTCCAGGTCTGTTCACACAAATAAAGCTGGCCCTGCAGGTCAGTAAGGTGGGGCAGATACTTTTCTTTCTCTAAGAACTCAGCATCTCAAGTGCTGGTCTGCAGAAAGCATGGGGAAGAAGCAGGAGAAATCAGGTCTGTTTGCAGTTCAAAGGCTGTGATCTCATCAGGATCACAGAGACCTGGGGGGATAGCTCACACAGCTGGAGTGCTGCAATAGATGGATACAGGCCCTTTTGGAAGGACAGCGATGGGGAGGAGCTGCCTTTTGAGGGGAGAGCAGCAGGAATGCATGAGCTCTCTCAGAATGGATGAGGAGCCAGCTGAGAGTCAGGTCACAAGTAGTAGGCAGACCAGCATGGTCCTGTTGTGGTAGCTGTGTGCTACAGACCACCTGTTCAGAAAAAGATGCAGAGATCTTCTTCAGACAAACAGTCCAGATCATCTCTGGATTATTGTTTCACAAATGAGACACATTAATTCGAATGTGGGCTGTAGGATTTGCCAGTTCCTGAAGAGGCTTTGAGACCTGACTTTCCTTTTGAATGCACTGACCATACATCAGTGCAGTCTGCAGGATTTCATGGGAGAGAGGGGGCAAATGTCAGAAAGCTCAGGATTATTGTTCTCCAGTCATATACCGTGGTTATAACTGGAGCTGTGCATACCCAGCTGTGGTCAGAGCAGCATTCAGAACAAAAGACACGGCCATGCTGACAGTGCAGCACTCAGTGATGAGTCTTTAAAATTAAAAATATAATTAGCTCTCCTGAGATCCTATGCAGCTAATCTGATTTCAGCCTGCACACAGAAAGCATCAACAACAGGCAAGCACTGCCCAGCACACTGCAGACTTCCCTCAGCCTGCTCATGTTTACAGGCGGAATGGGGTTAAGCCCGCCTTTTGGACACACAAGGTACCTCACAGCAAAATTTCTTCAATTTCTTTTTTTCCCCCTGGGCTTACACTAGACTTCGACTAGTCTGGAAGAGACCTGGAGCAGGTTCACCAGATACTTGGTGCACATTGCTCTTTGGCATTCACACTTATTCCAGAGGGTGTTTATTCCAGCACTAAATTTATCTTTAGTGTAATGTAAATTGCCTGAAGTGCAAAAATGAAACATATACACACTAAAACAAAACAAATACAGCTTTGATTTTGTTTTACAGGTTGAAAGCTAAAATGGGATATGTGGGATCACTTTGTCCCATTATTTTAAGCAGTCCTTTTGAAGGCTGAACTTCAGGCATTTATAACCACAGTGGCTCTTGTCCTGAGTAACATGGGACAGATAAATTGTATTGCTTGTACTTCCAAGAAAAGCACTTGGATTTTATGTTGAACTTTTCCATCTCATCAGTAATATTAAGACTTCTACTTGGCCAGTTCCATTGTGATGTATTTCCTTTCACAGCACTGTTTCCACAGTGCTGAGCATCTGACATACCTTGCAGAGCCTGTGAGCTATTTTTGCAGTTCGGACACATTTGAGCTACATTAATAATGGCTCACTCTTTACCTTCAGGCATGCGTGCCCAGGAAAGCATATCATGTTGCTATTTTAATACAGAGGTCTTGCCCTTTTCTGACCGAGTAATGCATGAATAGACCACTTTGGCTGCTAGTACAATTTCTTTTACTGTGTTCTAAAACACATTTTACATACAGTTTATTCAATTTGTTCGATGTATTTGTTCAAATACATATAAACACTGAAAGAGTAGGAATTGCCAGTGAGTGTATGAGCACACACTGTAGTTAACCTACATAATGTGTAGCAGTTAACTTGAATGTACCTAGTGAGCGTAAAGAATCATATTATTTCAGCAAAAGGTCTCTAAAATTTAGCCCTCTCCCCCCTTCATTTTAAGGTATCTCCAAGACTAGACTCCAATTTTTTTTCCTTGTTACATGAATCTCAAACTATGATTCTGGCCCCCCAGCTGATTTCAATCACTCATTATTCCCCTGCATCCACTGTGCTCTGACATGAATCAAGCTATAGCTCCTTTCTCTATGATCTAGGCTGTGAGATGTGAGTAATGCAATTTGAGGCATCCAAAACTCCTGGAAGTACCATGACAAGATTCCTTCTCACATTGATGGTGGTAGAATTGGGGAAGGCAGAACACTTGAATAACCCGGACTGTTTTGGACAGAAGCACACTGTGGGCAAGAGCCCGTGCAGAGCCCCAGTGCACGGGGCCCCAGAGCATCCCACGGCACATCCCCGTGCGCTGCCTGGACCAGCTGAATCCGTCTGAAACTTCGGCTTCCAAGAGGACGTGTCTCACAGCAGGAGAGGGCGCCAGACAACAAGGAGCAAGTGGTGGCTTGGCGGTGCGTCTGGGAGCGCAGACTTGCCTCCGAAGGGGAAGGTGACCGTGCGACAATAGGGCACCGTGTGACAACCCTCCCTTTAAGGGGAAGGGAGCACTTCAGCTTCGAAAATGCTCATTGGTCGAAAGGAGCGACAAAATCCGAGGGTCCACAAACAGAGAGTTTTACTGGCACATTACACACTTGATGTGGAAATTGGTATGTTAGTCCTAGACCTGAGATACAGGCACACAGCACTGGGTTTTCGGTAAAGGGCTGGGGTGAAGGGAAGAGAAAAATAAGGCATATGGCAGTGGGTTTTGGATAAAGAGGGAGGGTGGCAGGGAAAAGGGAAATTTAAGAAGTTAATTTAAAAAGGTAAGATTCATCTTTAAAAGGAAAAGAGAAAAAAGAAAGGGAAAGAAAGATGAAAAGAGATGAAAAGGCATCATCAGCTCTTGTTCCAGCATTGATCCAGCTAAAAAGATGCCTGTTGGAGAAGATGAAACAGGAAAGCCTTATAAATATGATTATCTGGCAAAAGATTTTGAGAATATAAAAACTATAAGCGAGATTGAAATGAAAGCAAGCTTTGAGTTACCTTAGTTACTGAACAACTAGAA